ACAAAATCAAAAAAATAAATTTATCTATTATCATTTCGTCCAATTCTAAATTTTTTTATTTAATATTTCCATGTAATAAGACAAAATGAAACGAAAGTATTAAGTGCAAATATTAAGTGCTTGACAAATTAGCAGCAAACGGCGACAAGAACCTCTATCCAGATCGAAAAATTGCCGCGTAACAAAAAAGGAACGCAATGAAGGCAAAAAGACAAGAAACAGTCGATCGAAATAATACATTGAATTAGAAAAGGAGGAGTATAAATCCTACCAACATTGTTCCCGCTATTGTTTTTCGAAATGACCCGCGTGTTACTCACCCCATTGGACGTCTTGCGGCAAGGTGCTGACATGCTCCACCGGTGGGAACCACTTGTCGACTTCGTGGTCGAATGTACCGAGCATATACACGCGCAATTACGCAATTGTATCGATACGATTGATACAATAACCGCTGGGGAGGTCTCTTTTATTTTAAGCGAAGGAATTCTGATGTGTTGCCGACGACGACGTCCCGATCGTTCTGTTCTGGTCGTCGTCATTGTTACCGTTGTTTTCGTTGTTATTGCCGCTGCTACTGGCTCCGTTGTGATTTCCATTCGTTCTTTCGACGATCTCACTATCGAGATCGGGGATTATTATTCGCTCGGTCGGAAACGTTACAGTATTACATGCTGAAAAGCGCTGCCTCCTCGAACAGAGAAGCACCACTCTTCTGAAGAGTGGCGCACAGGGGTGGCCCTACCGCGGATGCTGAATGTAGAAAATTGTAACATACGGTGTTTCGAGGGTTTCATTAGATCGAGATGTTAATTGCGAGCGGCACGATGCGATTTCGTTCTTCTTGTTTCGATTTCTTGTTGCTGCGATTTTCACTTCTTCTTCCTGATTTGTCCCCAGTATGATCTGCAAAATGTCTTAATTTATCTTTATTCAATTGCTTAATATTGAACGTTTAACGGAATTTTCGACAAATTACAAATAAATGATTCTAATCCATCCTACTTTCAAAACCAAGTTGTATTGAAACAACTTCGATCCCTTTTCTAAATTTCAAAAAAGCAACCGCTTCGGAATTTAGTCTATCTTTCGGTGAATCATATCAGTTGTTTTGTTTCCGCATCTTGTTCAAGGGAACTCGATTCCTGGCTAACACACCATTTACTTCTTCTCGTTCCAGAAAATTCTACGAACTGTTAAAGTCCTGTAGCTACAGCTACCTTGTAGGTAACGGCCACCGATACTTTTGGGCGGACTGTTTACCTGAGTAATTTGTCAGAGCATAATGTTTGGATTCGAAATCCTTGAGCCTTTGGGATCTCGGTGGTTATCTTTTAATCCACGCTTTATGATCAAAAGATTGTCTACTTCGCCAACTACTTACCCAACAGTAAAAAACAATAATAGTAATAATAGCTTTTATAATAAAATATTTTTAAAGAAATACTATATCAAAGTGTATAGAATTTATTTATTCTATTATTTATATTTGATTAATTCTAAAAAGTTGTAAGATATGCGCAACAAAGAAAAAAATGTGCCTTTTGTTACCAAATTTCAAAGTAAGTTCTAATCTGAGATATTTCAATTGTATATTAGAATATTTAAATTACAAGTATGTCTGGATAAAAACTTTGGATAAACTTTTATGTACATAATTAAACCATTTCTATCTATAAGACCTACATATATAATATTTGTGTTCTGTCTACTCTATGCACTTAATTTGTAATCAAAACCTATATATAGCGTATTCTTATACAGCAGTAGATTATTCGATAATTGTGCAACGGTGTAACTTTCGAATCATTATTCCGACTACATAACTCCGCTTTCGAAAAATGATTCGAAGTTCGTTACATCACTGGATCCTTCGATTATCTAAGGAACTGGGTTGGTAGCTATCGAGGTGCTGAGTATCGATGTAAACAGATTTATGAGCAAAGAAACACAATGATTGTTAAGTGCTAACATTTCAGAGTTCAGTCATGCGAATCAGAAGAGTCACTCGAACACAGTAGGAGCTAGCGCCGATACATTTTCCGTCCCGCATCGCTTTCTCATTCATCTCCGCGAAGAAAGAATTCGTGAGAACATTTTTACAATTCTGAAGTATGTTTTTTTCTTAACTGTTTTGTGTCCTCGGACCAATTATAGCTATAACGTTGTTTTTAACGAAAATAAAACAACTTAGGATATAACAGAAAAAGATAATTTCCATTTCCTACTTTATAACTAATATTTAAAAGCTATTATCAAAGGAAATTTCGTTTATCCTATTATGAATTATACATTAATAATAATTATAATCAAACATTACAAGTGCTAAAATTTTTCAAACACATCAATCTTCCACAAAACTTATGAAACCTAATCTGTAATTTCAACAGAGAAGCTAATATACAGGGTGTTCGGCTGCAGGTGTAAGGAAATTTAAGGGCTGATTCTTAAAGTCGAAATAAGACGAAAATCAAGAATAAAAAAATTGCGTTTTCGGTTTTAATATTCTGTAGTTAATGTTAACAAGAATCTCTACGTAGAAATTTAAATTAAGATATAATTGAAATTTTCAATAGCAATAAATATTATAACTACTCACTTTTTGATAAGCTAAACAGCTTTCGTAATTGTTGGCAGAATTCGAATATTTCCAAAGAAATTCAATTACACAGAAATTCAATTAAGAAATTCCACGTATATTTGATTGTAACTTGAAATAATCAGCTACGAAAGGATCATTGATCTCAGATCATCGTTAAAAATAACAGAGCGTTATATTTCTGAAGAGTGCGTGACATTTGCGTACAAAAAGCACGATGCAGACTTTGTCAGCCACCTTCCTTTGAATGTTTCGGATGCCTTTTCACCGGTCAACCAAGACGATTATTTACCCGCCTTAGTGATTACACGTCGGTCTACCATAGTAGGAAATACCTCTAAATATACTGACAGCCTTGAGGAACTACGATGCGGGAAACTTTTGTGCAGCGATTACCACTCAAATCACCGTAAAATTCTTGTGAAATGCGTTTCATTGTGCCACGGAAAACGCAGGTAAAATTTAGATGTTTCTGTTGTCGGGGAAAGTTTTTTTCTTGTCGGCGGAAACAGGACGTTTCGAAATCTTTCCATAAAAAAGCATTAGCCTTCCGTTTGTGCTTATTTTTCTTTTTCTTCATTACTTCTTATTAGTGGTTTATCAAAATAAATTCCTATTCATTTTTTAACATTCTATGTCTTAGATTGGTGCGCAGTTTAGACGGAAACAATAAAAAGCAGTATTATCACTTTCACGGCGTAGCGCGAGAGGGCCTAGGGTAAGTCATCAAACATAACATTATAGATATCATCACATGTAATGTAATTAATATTTATTTTCTATGAAAAGTAGGAAGTGTGTGTATTTTTTTTTTTAAAGCAAGAAAGCTTGGCGACAGAGAATTATTTTCTAAATCATTCATTTTAAATACTTCGCAATATTATTACATTATTTAAACAGTATATTGTAACACGAATTATAATCCAAGACAGATGTGTTTTTGTATAATTTCAATTGTATCTTAGATGTCGGTTCATAAGACTAAGAATTATTAAATGCGAATTATAAATTAAAAATTAATGCAAGGAACGAAGAAAAGAAAAATTTTCTACATTTAACAAGAAAAAACGGGTTAAAGGAATGTATATTTATACAATTAAATAATTTGTAACATTTTAGTAACATATTTATATATTCCCTATGTATCATTCAAATATACAGTAGCGCTATAGGCGCCTATTATTTTCATAAAATTAGTCATTGCTATATAATACTAATTCGTACAGACATAAGTACATATATCTATTTTATACTTGCGGCCGTTCATTTTGCTTGATTTTATTAACACATGTAACTTTTCTAGTTACTTGAAAATTTATATAAAATCTTCGATTACTGACAAAATTTCAATAACAAAACTTTACATTTTAAAAAGTTTCAGATTGCCACGAACGCAATTAAAATAAAATAAGTTGTGCATGAATTTATTAATTATCATAACTATATATATGTAACTATATACAAAAACATATATATATATATATAGTTATGATATATATATATAACTATAGTAACATGTAGGACATCTAGAATATAATATAGGATATTTCTCTTAACTTCAGCACCTTAAATGTCCCATTTATATCTTATGATAGGAAAAAATAATAAAAGAAGAGAATATTCTGTTCGAAGATGCAAATGTACAATATGTTGACCTTTACGTGACCTTTATCGAGAAAATCATGTTTGTACGGTAAGTAGATAAAGGTAAGGTTTGTATGTTTCAATGCAAAAGATTTATTTCAGGAGGTGTTCGAAATATGCACCATTCAACTCAATATATTTTGAAGACAGAAAATGAATAATTTCTTTACATTTCTAAGCATCAGGAACAATTACACGATACATTGTTCCAATGAAATTGAGATTCCTCCATTTATAAGTTAATTAGCCATTAATTAACATAGTACTCGTCGTTGAATTTGTTTCTTATGAGCTATAAGACTGCTGTAATGAAAATATGTCGTCCCATTTAGAAATACTTCGATGAGCTTGAAATCTCGAAAAAGATGGTCCTGAGAAAATTTGTTTATCTATCACACATCGAACTGAATATTCCTTTGATATTTTTTCCTATCATAAGAAATAAGCCAGATATTTAAGGTGGTCAAGTTAGGTGAAATACACAAATATACAGGGTGGTTGGTAACTGGTGATACAAGCGGAAAGAGGGTGATTCCACGCGAAAAAAGAAGTCGAAAATACAGAATAAACATTTTTTTTTTTAATTTTTTCATCGAGACAACGATCTACAGTAAGATCCGTTATAACGAGACGTGATAAAATGCACGCGTATCGAGCGAAAATTCAGTTTCGATCTTTTCGGAAACAAAGCCTCAACCGAAAAATGTTTATTCTATATTTTCGACTTCTTTTTTTCGCGTAGAATCACCCTCTTTCCGCTTGTACCGCCCGTTACCAACCACCCTGTATATAATACAAAAATAATGGATATATATTATCATCGCGTATCTCTAGTACATTATCTCCAGTTACGCATTGTCTCTTTTTTTTTTTTTTGATATGCTTTCATCACAGTTTCATATATTCCATTCCTTTACATGATGCTATTCAATACATTTAACTCTATCTTTGCAGTTAATGGCATAACTTTGTACAATTTTCTATACAGACATTTCCTCATTAAGTATTTTATTGAGGTTCGTTGGCCTGGCCTTCCATGAACTTTATATATTAGATTTTCAAGAAAATGTTATAAAATTTTGACTATTTTACTCCAAATCCAGCTGATATATTATTTTCTAATTTGCTCTTTCTTTTTCTTTTTGCTTTTTTAAATTTTAATACAAAATATCGAATTATACACTGAGTGAGTCAAATCTTGTTGAAGTTGAAAGAAGAATTGAGAGGCTTCTTTAAGAAGAAATGATGCGGGAATAAGAAGAAAAGATAAGATTCTAGATTCATTTACTTATCGAATATTTCACGATTGTCCTCAATCATGTTCTTCTAATACACGCATTTTGTTCTTAGAACTAGAAGCACTGAAATGGTTACTGTATCCCTATCATTTCTTTTGGCCGACTAAATATCTAATAAGTAGGAGGCAAGTATATCAAAATCATTACAACTCTAAACGAATTCATACCATTTAAGCAGCCTTGTACATATCGCAGATGATCCTCTCGATAGGAATGATGCCGATAGTCCTCCTGAAGAACAACTCCTCGATGGCATGCGTAGAAACGGAACGCAGCGAAGGGAGCAACAAGAGTAATTTTCCAAACCTCAGAGCACCTAACGATGCACCACTTAATCTTTGACCAAGAGCAAGTTGCGCTCCATCTCTCAATCTGGCGACTGCTGCGGCATCCCTGAGTCTACTTCCAACACTAGGAGAGGCTGATCCAGTGCTACTTCTACTGCTTGGAGTAGGTTCGCTATCCAGTCCAGCTTTGAACAGTACGATCGCTCTGATGCACGCGAACTCATGCTGATCGAGATTCATCGCGTGAAAACCAGCCAGTGTTTCTCTAAATCGATTCACTTCGACTGCCAGACTAAGACCATGAGGAGCGGGCGGGAGAAGGGTAGTTGGATCTAACGTTGGAAGGATTTGAGCGGCGGCGAGAAGAAATAGTTCTCTCCACGAGAATTCTAATAGAGTCAATTGATCCTCCAGGACCAGGCCAGTTCCTGCTGCTAGTTCTTTGGCCCAATGAACGTTCAGGAAAAGTAATCTGGCTGCCTGTTCGCAGATCGACTCCGCCGTTACCGCCGGGATCAACGGTACAGATGGCAAACCCGCCATGTTGAGTGGTATCTGTAAATTTGAATAAAAACCTCGTGTTCAGTGGTTGTAGATTTAGTGGATGTGTTTAGAATAAGATGGTGAGCTGATTAGCATCTGCAGAAATGGAAAGTATTCTAAAATTTGAGAACCAGAAATTATAAAATTCTGTATAGAGGATTTTAGAGCTTGTACCGTTCTATCGTTCAATATTTCTACATGTAAAAATACTCCATAAAATTATTTTAAACAACAGAATAAAATTTAATGTTATTCATAGATAATTCTTGCCAAAATTCATCTTCCGTTCTATATTTTATATTCCAAATATACGAATTTATAGAAGCCTAAAACGTTATTTTTCAATCCTCTTTTCCACTTCGATGTGACGAGCTCAATTTCACAGATATCAATCATTAGACATACGACGTTTATGCATTTACGGAAAATGCAAACATACACAGAATGCGTATGGCATGCAAAAATGTATAAAACATCGGAAGTATAGTACTTGTTAATTAAGTGAAACTAATCTCTGTTTAGATTCTATTCCATTCCATTCTGTTCCATTAAATTACATTACATTACATTACAATATATTTCATTACACTCCATTGCTTCATAGAAATATGAATTTGTAAATGTGAGTATCCGCAATCTAGCGATTATCTAATTTATTAACGTGTTTCGTGAATTAAACAACATATTACTCGCAAAATTCTTCTCATATATACATATATACCTTCGACATGGCCAAGCTGTTGCAGTAAACAGGATGTGAAAGAAGATGATGAGGAGTTGGTGTAGCTACGGAGACTCGAGATTCTGTCGCTGGTTTGGGCAAAGCGAGATTCAAAGCTGTCGTTGGTGGGGGCACCATGCTAGCCATCACTTCGGGTTCTTTAAAATACAAAGCCATCTGCCTCCGCAGAGTTGAGTTTCGTGGTCCCCGTTCGTGCTGCACAGCTTGAAAAATACAAAAATTTACATTAATACATCATTTAACATATATTACGAGGTGTGCCAAAAATGCTAGGTTTTAAAAAGTTCGGCACTCATCCATCCATTCTTCTGTGCCTTGTAATTGATCGAAATAATGCTGAGACGCTTAAAACATTGAGGTTTCATAGACATCCTAACTATAAACAATGAAAGCTAACGCAAACCCGAGGCGTTGGAACACACTATGGTAGTTATCCGACCCTTACAAATTTTAAGACCAGGTGCGGTACTTTCTACACCCGAAACCATCGATATCCGAGGTAGCAACCTCTAACAGAAAGCCATCTTATCGGTGTCATAAATATAATCTTCTAAAGAATTTTAAATGCGTACAAAACCGTATAAAGTTATCTTCAATTCTTTAGCACTGTATTCATTCGCAAAAAGTTTTACACCATAAATGTTTAACATATATTTGTGGCTTTTCTTCGTATACACATAACTTGAGGTAATCCCACAGAAAAAATCACAGATTGAAAGTCTCCGTAATTTTGGTTTCAAGAAATTGTTGATCATATTGATGCACCGAGTTGAGTTTACAGTCGTGGTGATTCCGCAGTCCTCAAAAAAGTATGAGCCAATGATGTCAAATATTATATTATATTATATACAGGGTGGTTGGTAACTGGTGGTACAAGCGAAAAGGGGGTGATTCTACGCGAAAAAAGAAGTCGAAAATATAGAATAAACATTTTTTTTTTTAATTTTTTCATCGAGACAACGATCTACAGTGAGATCCGTTATAACGAGACGTGATAAAGTGCACGCGTACCGAGCAAAAATTCAAAATCGATTTTCTCGAAAACAAAGCCTCAAACGAAAAATTTTTATTCTATATTTTCGACTTCTTTTTTCGCGTAGAATCACCCCCTTTTCGCTTGTACCACCAGTTACCAACCACCCTGTATATAATATAATATAATATTTGACATCATTGGCTCATACTTTTTTGAGGACTGCGGAATCACCACGACTGTAAACTCAACTCGGTGCATCAATATGATCAACAATTTCTTGAAACCAAAATTACGGAGACTTTCAATCTGTGATTTTTTCTGTGGGATTACCTCAAGTTATGTGTATACGAAGAAAAGCCACAAATATATGTTAAACATTTATGGTGTAAAACTTTTTGCGAATGAATACAGTGCTAAAGAATTGAAGATAACTTTATACGGTTTTGTACGCATTTAAAATTCTTTAGAAGATTATATTTATGACACCGATAAGATGGCTTTCTGTTAGAGGTTGCTACCTCGGATATCGATGGTTTCGGGTGTAGAAAGTACCGCACCTGGTCTTAAAATTTGTAAGGGTCGGATAACTACCATAGTGTGTTCCAACGCCTCGGGTTTGCGTTAGCTTTCATTGTTTATAGTTAGGATGTCTATGAAACCTCAATGTTTTAAGCGTCTCAGCATTATTTCGATCAATTACAAGGCACAGAAGAATGGATGGATGAGTGCCGAACTTTTTAAAACCTAGCATTTTTGGCACACCTCGTAATATATGTTAAATGATGTATTAATGTAAATTTTTGTATTTTTCAAGCTGTGCAGCACGAACGGGGACCACGAAACTCAACTCTGCGGAGGCAGATGGCTTTGTATTTTAAAGAACCCGAAGTGATGGCTAGCATGGTGCCCCCACCAACGACAGCTTTGAATCTCGCTTTGCCCAAACCAGCGACAGAATCTCGAGTCTCCGTAGCTACACCAACTCCTCATCATCTTCTTTCACATCCTGTTTACTGCAACAGCTTGGCCATGTCGAAGGTATATATGTATATATGAGAAGAATTTTGCGAGTAATATGTTGTTTAATTCACGAAACACGTTAATAATTGTATATATTACATATACATTATATCGTGACTTGGAATGACGCATGATATTCTTCCTCATGACACCCAATATTGAAATGGCGACGAAAGAGTCGTTGAGTTCCGTTAACTGTCTCGACACTTTTTACGAAACTATCGTCTACGAACACTCGATGCTCTGATATCCACAGCGACATGATAACAAATGAAATCACATAGCCTGAAGCGTTAAACGCCTTCCTACTCAAGCCTCTAACTCCACTACTTGCTTCCTAACATTCATTGAAAATGCCGTAACGCACCCTGTATTATGTTATCGTATTTCTATATTCTACAACCAGATATAAACGACAAAATATTGAGAAATTATGTTCGTTTTCAAAATATTGGAAGGAATTAGAAATTTGTTTGAATATTGTCTCTGACATTAACATCTTCCTAATGTGGAAAATTTATCCACATTTTACGTTATAGCCGACAGATAAATTTTATAATACATCATGGAACTTACCGTCTTTGTTCATGCCGACATGAATACACTTGGCTAAGCGGCATGCTCTACATTGATTCCGATGCGTTTTATCCACCATGCAACCCCCTTTAGATTTTGCTTTGCAGACGTACTGACGATTTCTTCGTATCGATCTCTTGAAGAAACCCGCACACCCATCGCAAGCAAAAATCCCATAATGCTTTCCTGAAGAATGATCCCGACATACCTTACAGGGAATATCATAAAGAATACGACCTGCAATAATATAAAAATATCTTTTTATCAGTTTTGTGAACGAATTTAGTTGACTAAATTAATTTAATCAAACGATTCGTATAAATTGATTAGGCGCCGAAAGTATAATGAAAAAAATAGCTATTAATAATGTAATAGTTTAGGTTCATATGTATCTTTAAATTTGAATACTTTAAATGTCTGAACCAAAAATTGCAAATAATTAAACTAGTAGAAAGGAAGAAAATAAAGGAATTCTACTTTTGCAATATGAGCAATAACCATTACAGAATAATTCACTTTTTCACTTTAGAAGCCCAAGGTTTAAAGTCATTTTTAGCCTAAATAAAGTAAACAATTTTTATTGATAGGAACAATATGTGCATGTAGAATAATTACTCTGTATAGTTTATAATATGAAACATGTAAATGAAAATAGAAATGATTCCATACTACACAAAACATATACATATATTGCCAGCAAGTTATTATTCAGGACGCATACATATATTCTTCGTAATGAAACATTTAAGCAAATAAAGCATAGGTACAGCATCAAATCAATCCAATAACGTTTAAAAGCGATTGAAAATGAAAGCATGATATGAAATTGGCAGAACTACAAAAATAGCGCGTGCCACTCACATGCAGTGTTCTCAAAAGTTTATTTTCTATGCAAACTTCGTTGAAACAATTTTCTTAAAAATAGCAAAAGCTCCCATACATATAGCCACAAGTACCCGTCAAGTTCCAAAGTACGAACACACGCATATTCAGTTATCGAATACTCTATGCCTCACCAATTTTCTTACGTTCGACAACGAGCGAAGAGAACGCACGATAGAAGTCTCTGGTTCTGAATCGATCTTTACCTAAAAGGAGTATTCTTATCCCGTTCCTGATGGCACAGAAGAAAGGAAAAAGGCGCGTTTAAGTTGGAAGAATGCCAGTATTTTGAATCGGGAACCCATTTACCATCGAAAACACGGATCCCGTGAATGACGTTGCCGATGAATGGATCGATTTGTCGCCAAGTTAGAACGACCTCCTGGACGTACGCGCCTCTATACCTGTTCGTGCTGGCCCTCTATATAAAACAGCAAGGGTGTGGTACGTTTATAATGGGGGTACCAACTCGTTGTCGCGGGCTCCGCCTACGCTATTGAGCTTGACGAGACTCGTGAATGGGGCTGAATGGACCGGATGTGGCTGCTGCATTCACCAGCTCTTAAGTGAGCAGCCAGAAACACGACACTTCGCTCGTATCACCTGATCTCCCTTGATCAGCCTTTCCTCGGCTCCTTTATCTTACTTAACGTGGATCTTATTATGGGAGAAGGTTAAACATTTTCGTAGCACCCCGCCAATGCTCTACCCCCTCCCCTTTCTCTTGCATACACTAAAAGAGAAACCCACGAGGAAAGTATATCGACAGTCCAATTCGTTGTTGGACAAAGGATAATCTGGGTGTGTTTGCTTGAGAGATAAGGAAGGAAAGTTTCAGTTAGGTTTGAAAATGATTTTTTAGCGTCGTTTTTTCCTTTAGGTATTTTTGAAGGTGACTATTTGGGAGGTTAATGGTCGAGGATGTAATAGTATTTAGTATTGTAGTGAAACATCCTTTCGCGTTTGGAATTAGTGGCGCAAAGGATATTGTATGTTCTTAGAATTTAATGATTTAATGATGTTATTAGCTAAACCATTTATGTTGAACAATATAAGGAAGAATGCACAACAGAAGACGAAGACGTTAATACGAAACTGAAAAATAGAGTACGGATATTTATGCATTTATAAATAAACAATTTAAATGGGCAAGAATGTATAAAATTTGAGTACATAATATTTCAAAATATTCAAGAAATATACAAAGTAAACTACTGATTATAGATATTTAGAGGTAAGATAAATTGTTGTTTACGTCCCAATTTTATAGTTTTTACTTATAAACTTCGTTTTAAAGACATGAAAGAATAAGCTATCTTGTGTTATACCTACTTTAATTATAATACAGAGAATTTAATACATTGGAATTTACCCAATTTAACATCTCAAATTATTTGATCGTAATAATTTTTTAATTCTCAAATTTCCTAATTTCGATTTTAAGTCACAACGATATTTGCAATTTAAGTTCCATTGGGAAGAATCGATATAATTCTATATTTTCAGTGTAATTAAATTTAAAAAAGCTTCGAAATGAACTACGTAAATGAACGCTATCAATTCAACTAGGAATGAGGAACTACCTGTTGATTTCATCCAACAAAATTACGCCAGTTAATCCGATTTCAGCCTAAATCTATTCATTTTTCCCGAAACTTAAAATTTGAAACATAAAAAGAAAGACATGTATCAGAGGGTCGAGCATATCTTCACGTAAAATATCGATGGAAATGTACGCGTTATACGAAATATGATGCGCGCGTACTAACTACTGCAACAAGCATGTTGCAATGACAGGGGTGCACCCTTGCACGACACTAAAGACCCTTTTCTCCCACGATAAAGGGAAAGTTGAATCGCAAACGCGTATATTTTTCACGTACAGAAAGAGTTTTACTAAAACTTCAGCGAATGCCTTTCCAAGTAGCCTCTTGATACGATAAGATACATACGTTGGTATTATTTGATAAAAACTTAACAAAATGATGTGAACATCTAGAAGTATATATTATTTAAAATTCGAAACGTTCTTAAAAAATAATTTAATAATTTTATTTAAAGATTTTGGAAATTGCACAATTTCATATTAGCATGCAACAATTGTTTAAAAAATATTTTTCCAAGGATTTGTGACACTGTAATTTCAGCAAATATAGTATCTTAGAAGATCTATAAAACTGTCAATAAAGAACTAAGTTCGAAAGAACAGAGTTGTAAGCAATCATCCTAAATCAGAATAATTTATATTCAAACTTAACTTACTTTTCTTTCCCTTTTCTCCTACATAGTAAGTATTGCAGTATTATATATAATTTCAGCGCAAGTTAGATTACAAAAAAAAGTTATCACGAGTTTCAAATTCTTTTTAGTAAGACAATCAAACGACAAAATAACTCCCTAAAGAATCATTTACTTCTTTATACATCTAACTGTATTTATCATGATTCAATAAAAATCGTTGAAAAATAAATGAATCAAATCATATCCTCGAAAATGTTCACTTTGCAAAATATAAGAAACGGACGAGCAAGAATAAAGTCAGCGAAGTGAAACCATCGGATTTATCAGCTGACTGAAGCAAAAGAAGCCTGTTGTTTCTTGCATACGAGTGTTTATCTCAATAGCAATTGGAAACTAACTCCCAAAGGACAATGAACGAGTATCGGAAGAGAGGCGTGCACGAAGGAACGCACATGCTCGTGGTAGAATCACGCGATGCACGTTTTACGAGCCGATATTCGAGCGTTGCATCAAATTTGCATTCGACCGGCGTGGCTCGCGAGTCATTCGCGATTGAATTTTTCATCGTTGTGGAATCGAAGTCTATGTTTTACCAAGTGCTGGTCATCTTTCTTCCGTCGCTTTCCTTTTCTCTGGCTTGTCAATCATTCATGGAATTTTTACAGTGATCGAGCTCGCCCCTCGTCTAGAAAGGAGACGGACACCGGCTTAATGCGCAAAAGCGCATGCTTGCTTACCATTAACCACACGCAAATCGCGAATGGAAAGGGGACTGCAAAATTCAATGATTTTCTCTACGTCTCCCTTCGTCTCTTAATAATTTCATTTTTATTTACACGATTAGTCGTCGTCATTCGCTTTAAAATATTTTAGTTTGTTACGTTGCTACTATAGGACGATTATTGTCACGAAATTGAACCTGCGTATAAGCCGTTTTTTTTGTGGATATTATAAATTTAAATACATTATTAAGAGCAACGTTATTTAAATCCAACATCTGAACTCTAATATTTTAACATTATGGTTGCGGGAGACTGAAGAAGTTGAAACACTTATAGTTTTATACACTTCTTTGTAAAGTTTGTTAGAACAATATGTAAAACATTTTATTTAGGTTTCTTCCAATAACGCCGTGTATATATTAGTTTTATACATTATTCCATTGCTTGGTCTTTAATACGTAAAGAAATAAAAAAATAATAAAGAAAAAAATAAAATAAAAGAAATAAAAAAGAAACCTAAAGTTAACTAAAAAATAAAAGATTAGAAACATTATGTTCAATGTTTAATTGGAAGTAAGTAATCGAAAATTATTGAACATAAGTTTTCAAAACCTATATATTTAAATTTTTAGTCTAATCTGATGCATTAATTAAGCAGTTTAAGAAGAGATTGGTAAAATAGTTTAACTCTGTAAAATAAATAAATTGCCGAGAAATTGAATGACGGTAACTTCCCCATATAATTTTGAGCGTGATATAATGTGTTCAAGATATAAAAATCTGTAAATAATTTAATATTACACCAGTAAGACAACAATTATTATCAGATGATTAATTTGGGAATTGATTCGCACATTGGATATGATTCATTCCTGCTGAAGCGATATTTTATTTGGATTTTATCATCATTCAAGTCCATTGGTCGGGCAATTTCGATGTTAGATGTTCGTGACAACTAAATTGAGGGAAAAGTTCGTCGCGATTCGGGGTAAAGGGGTGAAAAGGGGTAAATTATCGTGTATTTCGTCGAACGTCGAACGTCGAACGAAAAGTTGAGTATAATTTTAAGTTCTGTCAGAACTTCTTCGTAATAACTAGATAACTTTTCTTGCGCGTAATTGCCATTCAAGTTTATCTATTTCTTTTTTCGTTTAATAAAAATTAATTATTCGGACTATATAAATTTATATAAAATATTTGAATACTTGAATTTAAAATTTTGTTCACAACTGTATTTGACAACTTTATTTTGCAAAGAAATAGAATTTTATTTGTAGAATCTTTCAATATTGAACGGGGCAAGTTAGGATATAATCTTTCCTTGAGATAATGCGCGACGAAGAGCTTCAGAAATTTTCGGATAAAACGACTTTTAGCCACAGTATTACGAAAGTAAAATCTTTCGTGACATTCAATTATAAGCTACATAAATCATTTGGAATGGTGCGAATTTAATTTATCTTTCTCATGTGAAATATTACGAAATGAAATTGAAATCCAATGTAGACGCATAGGTATCTAACATGCAATGCATATTTAATATCATGTTTCATAAACTGGTTATTAATTTTTACGATTCAGATATTTCAATGATTTAAATTCTAACTACTAAGATAGGAGAAATCCATTAATGATATCATAGTAATAATACTTCGTTTAAAATATATAATCATGAAGATTTCCTCCTGATTTATTCTACTATGATTTTAATTTTGTACACCAGAAAACTATTCAATCATATTAATTAAAATAACATTTTCATTCTCAACGATATTCAGATAAGACCTAACAGTTCGGGTGACATCATCATTGTTCGTACCGTTATGTCACTGTCCATCAGGTGTTATGCGCATCGTTAGTGGGGTATGGAAATTTCGCGGCATGTGTCAGGAAACAAACGCCTACCACCGATATACACCTATACGTGCATATAACGCACGCGCGATCATTCGTCATCTGTTCGTCGCGTTACAGTTATAGGGGCTGCGATGTCCGATTCACGCTTCGGCGAAAGATCCGCGCGATTTTCATGTATCTGTTCTTCTGCCTCACTATTCCCTCCATCGCATCGAACGAATTTTATTATTGCGTTATGTTTAACAATTACATACATTGAAATATTAATAAAAAATAACACTTTGGATTGTTATATGTTAATATTAATTATTTTGATTATTAAAATGAAGGAAACTTGGATGAAAACTGTCATTAAAGCAGTTTCGAGATATATTCTCTCGAGAAATACTCTCTCAATGTATTAAATCTCGCAATGTTTAATACATCGCTTGAATATATCGTAATAGTTTGTAAAAATATTTCAATAAATATTTAGATTAGCATTAAGTCACGGCCATCACGTCTTTGTATAAAATTCTATGCCTTGAAATACAATGAATATAATTTTAAAAAATATTTCAATAAAATATAAGATTAAAATTCCGTCGAATCAATTATTACCATATTCATATTTTATAAAATACATTTGTCAATTATCCAAGTGGGTCTTAAGATAATTTTCAAATCAACCAGCAACGAGTTATATGCATTGATTTTTCGACAAATGACGCTTGAATTCAACCACCCACGACAACCTGTTACCTCGTTACGGAGATTCGTGGTTACCGCATTATATGTTGACCATCTGCCATTATTTTCTCATGGCTGAATGCCACCGGAGACGAGTCATTTAAATGCACGATCATCCGTCTCGTTTAAATACTGCATATGTTATTTGTTTCACACGAGATTAGCCGCGTGATGGCAAGCACCCCTTTTTGATACAGGATAATTATCCCTGCACCCTCCGATGTGATTAATGCTTCGTAAGTGACAGAAAGAGAATGGTATTGCTATATTTGAAACACACATAACTTCGATTACGAAATAAAAAAGAACTAAACGGAAACTATAATAATTAGGAGGACGTAGATTCCTAGAAATACCGAAAGAAAGAATTAGTTCTAATCAAAAAAAGAAGAAAAAGTGTTTTAATTGATCACATTTATTTGCACGTGAATTTGTATCTTAATTTCGAGAGATAGAATAATTTTTAATTTTTTTATTTATAATTTTTAATTTTTTTTGTTGCAATAAAATAAGTTTTGTAACAGAAATATTAAATATAATAATGATAATTGTAATACGATGTAAAACAATTAAAATGCGAAATAGTGATAATACACGATCACTTTTCAAGCGTTCTATTAAAATTCTTTATAATCGTTTTAAAACACTTCGTGGGTAGTTGTAAAATAAATAACAATGTAGCCAGTCTCATGAGATCAGATATGTGAAATAAAAATTTATATCTTAGTTTTACATGTATTTTCTTTAGATGAACTGGATTTCCTAAATTAAAGTCTAGATTAACACACTGATGTATCGTTATTTAAACAGCAATTTAAACAACAATTGAAACAACAAATTAGATCAATTAATTTAATATTACTGAATTTTTTATGAAACTTCGTAAATATTCATATTATTATTTACTCGAAGTAATTACCCTAAATAATATGTCAAACTACACAAGAATTCTAGCCCAACATGACATAACATTTTATTCAAAACCTCTGAAATTGTAAGAACGTAAAAAATATACTTTGTTCAGTGAGAAAAAGAAAGAAGTTGAAATTTATTATCCTGTCAAAGGTTAATTTCTAGTAGCATTGATGAATGTAATGAAATTGGCAAAGTTGATACCTGTTTTCAGGTATCAGGATGTATAAAAGTAGTAATTATATAGCGTTATATATAGTGATATAATAGCACAGCGACACCAGGTAAGGTTAGGTACCCTAACCTAGCCCCTAATGGTATTTACAGCAAACATAATTTTAGAACTTACCTTATCCCGTTTTATCGGTACTTGAGCGGTAAGCACAGCTGTCATTGTAAAAAATGTTAGCGAACGATATATTCTTTACACATCGAAGACAAAGGATTGCAAACAATCCTAAAATCTTGAAATATGTAACAAAATACAAGAAGATAATATAAAATTCTTTGTGGGTGTTTCCTTGAACAAATGAAATAATTTTGCTAGATTGACAATTTTCGAGTTTCACGTTTAAATATTTTAAAGAATAAAAGATCAAGCAAATCATTAATTTATATTGTATTACCGTAATTGTAATATTGCATTTGTGTATTGTCATTAATTATAGTTAATTGTATTGAGAATCAGAGAAATATACTAACATTTAGAATATAATTGTTATGCGTGAAAAATTGAATATTGAACTGTACTGAGAAATTTAGTTTTGTGAGACTATGAGACTATCATAGTAGTTGATCATCATCATGATAATAGTCGTAACAATTTTATAGATGCTTACGATAATCTGAAAAAGAGTGCTTTAAGTAATAGTTTGTTAGTATTAAATATAACTAAAAAGCATTTTTTGTTGAAGTAAAAGTTGAAATAAATGTAAAAAATAGTTGTTATGTGTGTCATTTTATATGATTTATCCTATTCAGTGTTGTGTATATCATTAAAACAAATTCAATAACGTAACATATATATATATATTATAAAATATGTAATATATGTAATATATTACATAATGCATAATATATAATACATAAAGGCGTTTTTCTTTCATATTCATAGTACACCAGAAAAATATTTTGATACGTAGTCTCTTATTTACTTATAAGTCAAGCAGAAATGTAATTCAGCAATACTTTGCGGTTGAATGTAAACAGTAAACACAGAGATTTCAGTTTTTATTTAAATGTATTCGTAAAATCTTGAACTTGTCAATGTAATGATTGTACCTAATAGCGGGATATTTATAATTACCTATTTACGAATACGTTCCTGCAGAATTATGATTTCAAATCGATTAGCTTTTATGTAACGACATATTAATGAAAAGATAACTTTTCATCAAATTTCAATGTCGGCATGCAATTCGGATATTTATCACGTGTTAACAAGAAACTAAATTTACATTTTACATTAATTAATTGAGTTTACATTCTATTACACATTATTGAATTATGTCTGTGTTCATTCTAGGTATCGATGACGAATTTTATTACTCTTTAGAGTAATTTCTTAAACAAGTTGTTAGGGGAAAGGTACTTTGTACAATATCATGCAATAGAATATTACTGGACAGATAAAATTATGTGGTACCATTATAAAAGTACAGGTGTCTCCAAATTTAGTTTGAAAAAAAATCTTTTTGGCAAGTTAGTTGTTATTATTAGGGTCGAAAAAGGACCATGATCACTGTTCTATGAAATAGAACATTTTATATAAAATTTAATTTCACATATTAAATACAGAGATACATTTAATATTGAGAAATTTTTCATTCTCAAAATATTGCGATTTAACTTTTAATTGAAAAATATCGTTCAGATACTTCTTTTTATGTGAATTGTATTTCAAGATAGCAGGTCCTATCTACAATAAACAATGTAAAAACTTCCAATAAAATAGACTTGAAAAATACGAAAGTGACAAAATATAAATAATTACTTCTAAGTTGAAAATAAATTGCTCCAGGAATGATTACGAAAAATAAACTAGCATTTGCACAGCGGGTGAAGAACAAAATCTTCTGAAATTTTTCTCTCTCTAGAATATATTTATACACACTTTTTCAAGATACCACCAACGAATATAAACAATCAAATAATCGACACCAATAATTTTGAAGAATAACCTCACTGCATATTGTTCTACGGCATATTATCTACACACACAACTGATTCCAACACTACTCTTCACTTCTCCATAAACGTCAACAAAAATATGAAATAAATCTTGAAACTTACTGGACGATGCAGACATCTTCGGCTGTACCACGGGCATATGTCCGATTTGTGTTTCCTGAGACTGCATTTGGATTGCCTCTTCCATAACACACTGCGGTCAACAAACAAGAACAATCCCAAGAAGAACGAAGAACCAACTTTGAGTTGATGCACTTTTAATCGCGCGAGATCAGCGTGCGAGTGGTTTGTTTTTAACTGAGAACTGACATGTGGCACGTAGAATTTCCGCAACCCAAAAACCGAGAGACTACTCGACGTTGTTTCCTGTACCCTCGAAGCGAGGGGGTTGGCTCCGCGATGAAACGTGACTGACAGTCATCGTAGCCAGGACTTCTTGATAGTAAGCACGGTTCGTGACCGTTTTCAAACAAACGGTGGAACGTGGTCGGAACGCTTCATTGGCCAACAGCTTCCCTACCCTCGAAAAAGGGCGGTTCTTTCGAAAGGAGCTGGTTCCTCCCTGCTCCGACGGGGGTTGAACGTCACCCAAGCCAGAGGGGAAAGGTGGCGAACGAATAAGGACGTCAGATGTCTCCTGCCCTTCTCACCCTTTGTGAAGACACACACTCACGCCGCTATTCAACCGGTAGCGAGGTGAAAACGAAGCCACTTCCACCCCTTTTGCCCGTAATCGTGGACCTCGTGCCACACGATCACCAAAGCAGTGACCCCCCTCCGCAACCAAACTAATTTAGCAACACTTTTGCACTGGGATTACAGATAATCAGTAGCTTAGCGGTTGCTTTGCTGATTCTTTTATTTATATGTTTTTCAAGGATGGAATCTCAAAGGGAGTGAAATTTTGGAATGGAATTTGTTTAAAAATCGTTGGAATGAATTTGGCGGATAGCGATGGATTCGAATAAGATTTTGAGGTAATTAATGAATTTTAGCTTTTCGTTTTTGGAAATGTTAGAGATATTCGTAACGCTGAAGTATGAATGTTATTAAATGGCAGTACAATTAGTTCATTCAAGAATTGATATATCTTCTACACATATTATGTATACAGCCAATGTGTTATTTATCACAGCATTTATTAGAAATTAATAGAGGTTGGGCTAATTTTTATTCAATAGTTACCGTAACTAATTATACTTTTATAGAAATATTGTCTTGTATCTATTACTAAAGATATGCTGTAAAAGACTAGTTGTGAAACATTTAATGTTGCAATTCAATCTTGAAACCTGATATTAGATATCTATCTTCGTACTAAGAATAATGAAATCTATAAATATAGATGAAATAATATTTTATACCCGGTTTCTAAAATACATGAACAATCATTACGCAGGTATCTTTTTAGAAAAGAAATACGAAAGAATTTGTTATTTATATCTTTAAAATATTTCATTCGCAAAACCACTGTTTTAGCTTTTCATGAAATCAACGGTTATTACTAAACTGCAGATGTGTATGCAATTTAATGTGTATGTAATTACTTTATTCAAAAGGATATTCTTATTTGTTTAGAGTAATGGTTCATGTTTAATTTTATACCTATTATATCCATTCAATATATCCTTGCCTCTTTAAACTTCCCACAAACATATAAATGACTACAATTCTTTTACTACATTTTTTACCACGGTAGTCCTAAACTCAATAAACCGTAAAAAAGTCTTAAACCGACCGCCGTGCTATTTCAAGCACTAACATACAAGCACTAATTTATTAAACGTCGTTTCTACTCGAAACAAAACCACGTATCCGTCGCTCTTGAAATCCACTGATGTGTGGATGGGAAACATCAGGTACAAAAAGCCAAGAAAGAAAGAAATAGGGGGCGAAAAATAGACAAAGCAGGGAAGGCGGAAAAGAGTGAGAATATTAGAAAGAATGCATCGCAGTTGAAACGTTGAACGTTGAGAGATATGAGATGAAGAAGGTTAAACAGAACATACACCATGGAATAATGCGAAGGCAGATGCGTCGCTTCCTGACTCCCTGACTCCATCTTGAATTATCTCATGCTGGATCCCTTGTGATGACGAGCGCACCCCTCGTGCGGGAACTCGGCTTAGGGTGGTCTGTATACGTGCACTCGCCGATTGAGTGCACGAATTACGCGAAGAATCCGTCATAACCGACGTAATATTACGGAGATTGGATCTCTCGATCGTGCTCTAGATCACCCTACACATACTAGTTTCAACGATCTCCTCGATACTATCAACCGCGGGGTGGATTTTCTTTCTCTTTCTCTTTTTTTTTTTTTGTTAGACATAATATTCTATGGAGATTGATGCGATAAAATATGTCTGGCATAGGGAGAGGGATCCGTGATTAATTTAACGAATAATTAACGAAATAATGGAGAGACAACTATCTGAATGAAATACATACTAACTAGCGAAGAGAGATATGTTTTTGGAGATTAATAAGTGAAATTGATAGGTGGTAGTATGTGAATAAGAGACAAGAACAAGTACGAATTTTTGAATACTAAAATTAATGTGGTAATTAATATTTAGTAGTGGTGATTGATAATAACAACTGTAAGATTGAATTATGATTATATAGATATTCTTAATAGGTGTTTTATATTGTCTTACTATGTGCATGATAGAAAAATAAAATAATAGATAGATGAATTATCTGTGCAATCTTTTTCTGCATTGTAACCATTCTAATCTTATTAACACGTTCACGTCGGCGTGTACAACTGATAGCTCATGCTCGAATCTCCCATCCGGCGGCGTGTACCACCGGAAAAGTAGTTCGTTTAATAGCTAGAAAAAATTGTCATATAGTTGAAAATTTGAATAATGAAAATTTAACGTATACTAATTGAAAAAACATCTATACGAATACGAGCGCTGCCCCACGGCGAGAAACAAATAGAAGCGCCGGCGTGAACGTGTTAATTATTCCTTAATGATACGAAGCTCAAAATTTTGATTGATATAAAATGTACCGATAGCACAAGAATGAGGGCGTAATCTCAAATACCAATTAATCAAACTATTATAAATTTCATAATTTATTTATAATTCCTTCATAATATTGATATAATTCTACTTAACATAAATTCCTTTTTTTTTAAATAGTACAACAAATGGAAATTGAACGTTCCAAGAAGAAGTAGGGACATTTGTGATGGTGAAATCCGTTCGAGTTCATCTCTAAACCCACGGATTGATCGGTATTCGAGGCTGAAAGGTTCAACTTTAGCAAATGCTCATCGAAGCGTGGCTCGTTTTTAGCTTTGGCGCAATGTGTCGAGAGAGAAGATTATCCACGTAACTGTCCCGAGGAGGTTTCACAAAGGTACGTCATTCTATTCTCCGTTGCAGTGGTACATGCAATAAGGAAGAAAAAACACGAAGGAGAGATTCGAGTCGCTTTGTCAAGAAGGCAAATGCAACTAAACGGTCCGTAATCAAAATACAATTGTTCAGGGAACATCGGGAAGAATGTTCACTAAAATAGATGTAATTATACTATTTTATTTATTTATTTTTCTTTTACTCATATTTGAATTTGACAGAATTTTAAATGTATAAATGGAAACTTGAAAATTTGAAGCGATTCATACAGATAACAAAATGCTGCTAAATTTTAATCGTAATGTAGATAAGTCATAGATTTTATTGCACTATCAAAATGTAAAGTAGACAAAGATAGAAACGAATACCCTAAATTTTTAATCAAATTAAAATTTATCCCCCTTTCTCATATAAAAAACCTCGAATTATCTTTCGTTGTTTTTAATCGGAGTGTTAGGTGAAATGAGCAAGAAGGTGAAAAGGTAGACAAATCTAAACAGCTGGTTGCGGGCTTGGTATCAAAACACAACTGTCTGGCATCACACGGTGAGCTTACAGAAACTGGTACAGAAACTTAGAGTACTTGTGTTCAGTGAATCGTACGAGGGGGCCGTTGCTGTTTCAAGGGGTGGGAGGGGAGACAAATTGGCAGTGGTAACTTACATGGTGGAATATAATGTTATCGATCTTGTTTCATACAAAATGCAAAGGTAACGCGCGATTACTTATTCACCGGAAATGTAATGTTTAACTTAATTGAAGTTAAGAGTTTTACTCCTTCCAGTTTTCTATACCATTTTACAATACCCATATCTTCTTCTCGTCATTTTCAATTCGAATATAAAAATAGTATAAAACCAATTAATTACTTTATAGAAAAGTTTACTTTTTTTACGACAGCAATTATTTAAATTTTAAAAGAATATAAATAAACGTAACTAACAGAAGTCCTAGTGATTTTTATGATAGATACTAAGTATTTGTAAACAATAGGAAAAACATTTCAATAAGGATTAAGAGATATCTAGTGGAAGGTATTTGTGATGTTAAACGATTGTAAACATGAAAACAAATCTCGTGTTTACGTAAATTTTCAAAGCTTACTTCACAATTGTCACGTAAAATGACATCATCACAGTACTTGTAAATACGATAGACGATGCAGGTATATATTGATATTATACACTTACCTAAGAAATCATGAGCCCCATTGTTAAATTCTTTGTTTATACTGACATGACTTTTTACTTCTTCAAATTAGTATTATTCACCGATGGAATCTCTTATATCACTCTCTGTACGTTATCGTTACAAAAAATGCACATGCAGAAACAGGTCAACAGATCTATAATATATAACTCTATAATATATAATATATAATTTTTCTCTCTATCCAATTCTTAAGGTAAAAGAGCGTACGCTACAGTAGAGAATTCTTAACTTAGAGAAATGTATTTCAAAATCTAGTTCAGCACAAAGGAAGTGTATATCTCGATAATAAACACACTATAAAATACAATGAAATACAAATATACACTATGAAACAATAAAATGCAAATTACCTGTTGGTTGTTACAAAAGTTGCTTTCGTTGTATAAGTAATAGATGCACAACATTTTTTGTTTCATATTATTATATTGAATTATGTATAATCCATTTTGTTCCAATAGAAACTTTTTTTGTAACGATTATATTTTTGCTTTCCTTTCCTTTCCTTCTTTTACATACGTATTTATTTACAATATTGTAAACAGATTTTCTTTCCAAGCCTATACGATACACAATCTAAGGGTATTTGTTTTAGAATATGTCT